CTATGAAGCGGTATATAAGTCTAACTGCTATTGCTATTGCTATTGCTACTGCTATTGACCAGATCGCTTCGGAATCCATTATGACAATACCTAAATCTCACAGAATTAGGGACATTTTGCACAATTTCTCATTGATATCGGTTTATGTACTGAGGATCACTGCAAGGTCTCTGAGTTTAGAGAAGTATAGTTTAAGATATATTCAGAGGGCTTAGAACATGGGTGTCAAACTCGCGGTGTCATGTTACGTTTTGCAATTTGTTTTCTCTTTCGCAGAGCTGGGGTGGGCATGGCCTGTGCATGATGTATCTAGCCTGCTTGACACCCCTGGTTTAGAACATCAGAGGTTAAAATTGGCCATTCGTATCTAATCCCTAGGTTCAGTTGCGATACGTTCCATATCCCAAATTAGAAAAAGTTTTATATGCTTGGTCTTTGGAAGGGTTTTGGAGAAGATGATTGCAAAATAGAAAAACACTTGCCATTGCTTCAAACGTTTTGTTGCCTGAGGAGTTATACATAAAAATGTTGATTCCCCCATTACCCACCTAGATAAAGGTGTCTAGTATCCAAGCCCAGCCAAGAAATGTGTATGCCTGAGACAGATATCCCACAAGAACTTCGCTCTTTCCCTGGCAATAAAATGCAACATTTTTTTCCCCTTCCTTTTCATGACACTCCAAAAGTTGTTACCTAAGGCAGCTGCCTGCCTAGCGATAACAACAGTTCTGGCATCCTCGGAAGCATTTCTTCTGCTCCCAAATTCACAAAAAGCTGATTCACTCAAAAAGCGCATTCCGTAAGTGCTTTGATGGTACTTCTGATTCTAGAAATCTTTTAGGACCAGGCTTGTTTAAGGCTTAAGACAGGATTTTGAACTGAGCCTGGAAATGCACAGTTCATGCGCTCTTACCAACCTGAAATGTCACAGCATTCCATGATAGAAGCTTTCTAAATTCTTTGAAAGCAGCCCCATTTAGAACAGATTCAGATAATCCTTTGAGTGCTGGGACATTGGAATCCAACTGCCTTGATATCATCAGTTGATCTGTCTTGATGTCACACAGCCCTAACAAGGCAGCAATGTTTCTTTCTTCTGACATCAGAGCTATTAAACCACTGGCACACAAGGGCACATGTTTATCCCCTCGCATATCCTTATGCTGTACTTTGTGTTTTCTTTTGATTACATTGATTTTCTCACATACTTCTTGATATACTATAATTTAAAAGAATCACTTAATACAATGATAAAAACAGTTGTGTAACTGAGAGTTGAAAGATTAAGGAAACCACCTACTAATGTGATTGAATTATGATATACATTTGAGCAATCAACTAAAAATCGTATATGAGTGAAATAAATATATTTTGAACAATAAAATAAATAAAACATATGAAGGAATGAAATCTAAAAAAATATTGCACTATGTCTAATTTCTCATATTTGTGAACCAAACTGTGCACCAAGCTATGCACACAACTATCTGCATCTGATCACAAAATAATCGGCAGCAATTTTAAAAAACCAGATCTGTTACTTAAAAACAGGTTAATCAACGTTTAATATGAGTTAAGTTGCAGACAAAAATATATTAGGAATTAATTTGGCTTTTAGCACAAGTGCAATGAGCCTATCCATACTGCTATATCAAGTTTTATAATTTGGTAGTTCAGTTTTTTTAAACAAATCTACAAATCACTGAGTGCTAGGAAACCAGGAAATTCCTGTTAAGAAGTGCCAAAAACACATATCTATTTTCTAACCTTAAAAGTAAAATTTATTATTAGTTCTGAATGCTGTTGGACTTTCAATATGCCGGAGAAGGGAAAAGTCACAAATTGCCTCAGAAATATCTCAATTGTTTTCTTACGGCTTTTGGCCTGAAGCAGAGATGTATAATACGACCTGTGCAGTCTAACTTTTCCAAAACAGTGGGGCTGTCTGATCATGAGAAGAGATATGAAGCGTGAGGAGAAAAGATGCAATAGAAAGCATTTTATCTGAACTTCTGCTTCCAAAAGAAATGGGTGTATGATAAAACAAAAAATAATAATAACAACTACAAAAAAAAGGCGGTGCTGCATTTGGATAGATGTGCTTTGTAATTAATTTTTTTATAGCTTTTTATTCCCAAAGAGACATCACGGAGGTGCTGTTTATTAGAAAAAGCCAAATACGTGGATTGAATTAATCCAATTCAGACAAAATACTTTGTTCATGTCATAAAATGTGCTGGTGCTTGGCATAGGGAGGTATTTGTGAATTGGTTCATATTTAAATGTACACATTATGAATAATGTAAGTGTACACAAGTGCCATGTACTGTAGTTCCATATTCAAGAAATGTGTAACCTGGGAAGACCGCTCAAAAAACGTGTTCTGTTGTTTAAATTTGCTTAAATTTACCCAAATTTATGGAGAATCAGTTGGCATAGATGTTAAGGTGCTAGAGTAATTTTTCAGGGAGACAGGGGTGGGTTTCTCAGGGAGACAGGGTTGGAACGGGGCCGGCGGTGTCCTCATGCACGCGCACAGTGCACGCATGCGTACTAACGTCTGTGCGATGCTCCAGCTGCTCCTGGAGGATCGCGCAGGCGCTGTATGCGTTCTGCACATGCGTGGAAGTGCAGAACTCGTCAAAACCAGGTAAGAAACGCGGGCAGACGGGTGGATCCTTCGGCGTTCCCGGAAGTTACTTACTTCCGGGTTCGCCGACCAACCGGTTCGCGGGGACCGCCGCGAACCGCCTGAAACCCACCCCTGCAGGGAGACCTAAATTCTAGTCCTTCCTCGGGCACAGGTGTCAATNCCTGCCAGGGCTTTGGGAAACCAAGGGGGCTGGGAGAAGCCTCCCCTCCATCTCTGAAGACCTCAACCCCAGACAAGGGACTGGAGAGCATCTCCCCATCGCTACTTTCCCCCCCCAAAGCCCGGCTGTGCGCAATTCCTTTCTCCTTCCTTTCATCCACGCTTTCGCTCTTCTTTCCCCTCCGCCGGCGGTTCCTTTGGCTGCCGAAGCAGGAGGAAGCGAGGGAGGCTCCGCAACTACGACGCCCGCCCGGAGCTTAAGAGAAGCCGCCGGAAAGTCCTGCCCCAGAAGCGCCGGGGCTGCAGGCGGCGCAGGAGCGAGGCTGGAGAGCGCGAGCCTTGCGCGGGGCTGGAGTTTGCGCCGGGACCCCTGGCGGAGAAGAGCGCCGGGAGAGGCGCCGCTTTCCCCTGTTCGGTGCCGTTTGGAGCGGGTCGCGGTGAAGGAGAGCGAGGCTCCCGGGAGGAAAGGCGAGCCGGGGCCGGGGAGGACGGCTCCGCTTGCTTCAGTTACCGACCCGAGAGGAAGGGACGCGACTCCCGCGCCTGGTAAGATAAGAAGGGGATGCGGAGCGGCGGTTCTACAAAGGAGGGAGAGGGGTCGTTAAAGCGGGTGGTCTCTGGCGAAGGATGCGCGCTGGGCGAATGAATAGGGGAAGTGGATGATGGAACGTCCTGGACAAAGGGACTTGGGGAGCGCATGAAACCGATGGGTGATGGAGTGAGCCAGATAACGGCAACACCTTCACCCCCCCTCCCTCCCCGTGTTTTCTTTGAAGTCCGGAGGGCGCCCAACTAGGTAAGAATCCGCCTCCTCCCCATCTCAGTTGCCCAACCTTGAAGCAAGTTCTCCCGTTCCTCTTTCCAATCATTTCCCCCCCACTTCTGGGCCAGGAATGCAACTATGAAGGCAAGACAATCCTTTCTGTAGCCTCACTCCGTATCCTCACTCCTCTTCATCTGCTCTGGGGGTTGCAGTCGGAAGGGGGAACGCTACCCTCTCCAGCAGCTTCTCCTGAGTTGCTGCTACCTTCCAGGTGCGGATTTATAGGAGTTGGTCCAGGTGGACCTGAGTGGGGTTGATGAGAGCCGGTCCACTTATCTGGAAGTCACCTGGCTGCCTAGAGAGAGANTATCATTAAAAAGGCTGTGGTTAATATATATTAGTTTATATATAAAGATCTAGGATAATTCATTAATTGCTATTTAAATTGAAAATGGTACACCCCACATTCTTTTCATGGGTGGAATTGGTCTGATTTCTTTACATTTCTTACAAATAGAGACCATCATTGATACAAAAGCGTTGTAGCTTTTTTCCCAGAATCCCAATATGTTGCCTCTATGAGATCTAATGAAAAACAGAATCTCGGCTCTACTGAGGGGTGATAAAATCAATTTGCTGTGAATAAAGTAAATTTCAAAGCGTCTCTTTGATCGCATTGCTGTTAGTCGTTGGTCCATTGCCTGTTAGATTGAATGTTTCAAAAAGTGAATCAGCTACTCTCTCCTTCCTCATCAGCCGCAATAACAATTGCTATCCGTCTGCCTTTTTCTGGGAGGAATCGAGGAGCCTGAACAGATAATGAATTATTTGAAATCAGTTCTGGCAACAATTGCTTCGGACTGTTTTAGACCCTCCTGGGGTTTCTTTGGTCAATGGGAGCAGCTGCTGCTTCTGCCTTAGTTTCAGAATGGCTGCAGATAAACAAGTGGAGAAAACTAATAGTCTTTGCCCAGCCTGGATTGGGATACAGCAGAAGAGTAATTGAGCTGGGAGCTGGGATGTTAGAACAGTCCTAGTAATGTGTCCAAGCTATTTTTTAATCCCTTCTGTCCTTTTTCATAGATATTACATTTCCCATTGGCAGGATAACACAGTGACCAAAAGCACGTTGGAGATTTAACATATTAACTAATGCAAAACAGACCAATAATTATCCATATGTAGGGTTTCTGGCAAACCTGACCTAATATAACATAATTTTAGGCAAACAGAGGAATTTGTGTTACTTCAAATTACAGGGTCTTATTTCCCAAGCTGAACACACAGACTTTCTCAAACGTTTACATTTTGAAAGTAAAAAAGATTCTTGCTCAATAATCAGAGTTCAGCTTTTACATCTGTCTGAACCCTCCCCCCACAAGAGTTCAACTATATACAGATTATTTGTAGGATGAAGTTCAAGGTAACAAAGCATGGATGGAATAATCCAAAAGTGAAACTTTGACTTAGTCAAAAGGAAAAATGCTGCTGTGTTTCAGTGGGAACTTAGTGGTATTAGTGCCTACATATTCCAGATGGAGCTTAATGAATATCAATACATCTCTCTGTCTCTCTCTCTCTCTGTCTCTCTCTCTCTCTCTTTCTCTCTCTCTCTCTCTCCCTCCCTCCCTCCCTCCCTCTCTCTCTCTCTTTCACACACAAACACACACATACATATGAAATTTATGATCTAAGACCAACAATGGTTACCAAACTTCGTAGTTGATCCTGTATTGCTGGGATGGGGGTGGGGATAACACATTTCTAAAGCTTTCCTGGGGAAGAGGTTTTTCTGAGGGAGGGGAGGAAGTTCTATTTTGGTGGGGATTCTTTCATATCTTGCGTTTGGCTTTCAACAAGCTTTGCTTGAAGAAAACTGCTATAGTAAGTAATTTATTTTGTAAGGGTTTTGATTCATTTTAGCTGGTGACTCTTGTCATTTCCTACAGAAGCAGGTGCATCACACAAATCTAAATTGTATACACTTGAAAGATAATAGTGGCTGGGAAGCTGTGCTGAGCTTTTTGTTCCTTATAAGTGTCTCCACAGCATTTTCAGGAGGGGATGGAGGCAAGGAACCTGCTCTTTCACCAGTTCTTTTTGCTGCATTTCTGTGATCAGTTTGAAGACATCCATCTATCCTTCTATCTCTGGAGGATAAGTGATGATGTACTCCAGCTAGCTCAAAGACAGCTGCATAACAACACATCTGGATAAAAACTCAGCAGATAAGACTGAATCAGTATCGAGTACCCAAAGTTTTTAAGAGCTGAGGATGCTTCTAGAAGCTTCTCTTGGTTAATCTAAAAGGGTAGCAAAGTGTTAGTTATTTGTTAAAAAGCAGTGCTTGTAGATTTGTTTCTGATGCTTAAGTGCAAATTAGATTGGCCTTATGATGATACTTGATTTGGTAAAAGGAGAAATAAACTGTAGTGGTAATAATGAGAGGGATGTTGGGAGTCTTAGTGGACAAATATGAACAAGCAATATGCTACAGCTGCCAAAAAATAAAAAATAAACCAACGCAGTCCCAGGCTGCATTAACAGATGGATAGAATCAAGATCACATGAAGTGTTAATACCCCTTGGAATATTCCCTTGATGAGACCATATTTGGAACTTTGCATCCAGTTTTAGTTGCCATGATATAGAAACGATGTTGAGTCTCTAGAAAGAGTGCAGAGAACAGCAACAAAGATTATTAGGGCTAAAACATGCAAAGAATGGTTGCAGGAATTTGGGCATGTCTAGTTTAATGAAAGACTAGAGCTGACAATTTAAATAGCAATTAATGAATTATCCTAGATCTTTATATATAAACTAATATATATTAACCACAGCCTTTTTAATGATANGAGAGAGAGAGAGAGAGAGAGAGAGAGAGAGCGCCAGAGGGCAGCAACTCCTCCAGTCTTCTGGAGCTTCTTCTGGCTGCCTGTTTGATCTCTAGCTACTACAGCACCTTTTCCCAAAGCAGCCACTTCTCCCAAAGGGGATGGTAGCAAGAACTGGCTTCAGGGAGAGATGGAGTGATCAGGTGAAAACCGGTGGGTGAAAGTAAGGCCATTGTCTTCTACTGCTGGTTCATGACCTTTGAATGGCTTGTTTAAAGAAGGAGGGAGCCCAAATGAATGAAGGGGGAAGGGAGGTGTGCAGTTAGAGACAGTGGCCACAGCCTCTTACTGCTTGGTCCACCTCAGTGCCACTCATAAGTGACCAGGTCAAAGAAAGAGGTTCGTGACTCAGGGGGCCCACTTTGGGCTACCCAAAGAAAGATGACCGAGAAGGCAGAAGTAGCAACTTTCTCTCCAGCTGGTCCACCTTATTGTGATGCCCAGAAAAAAATGAGTTTGGAGTGGTGGGGAGGAACAGCTGCTACATCCCCTTGCTTCTTGCACATTCCTCCACCTTCCCCCAGGAACGAACCAGCCAAAGAGAGAAGGTCAAACATGTCAGGAACTGTTTCTTCTAGGAGAAGCTAATGCTACTAAATAATCAGTCAGCTTTTCTTTCCCTCAAAAGGATTGATGGGGGGGAGTTGTTGCTGGTTCCAATTTCTTACTCTCCTTTGCTGAAAAGTATTGCCTACTTTCACCTCCTAGTTTGGAGGGTAACCAGAAGGCAATTTTGCCCAAAGGGAGGAGAAAGAGCTATCTTTGCTTCTTTATTTTTCTACCCATCACTTGGGGCTTTGAAGGACCAAGCTTATGAACTTAATCACCTCTGTGTTCTATTAAAGACAGGTGACTGAGGGAGAATTTTATCAAGGACCAATCCTTTATGCTTCAGAATCCAAAAGGAAAAATAAAGGGGGAAGGTTGTGTTTTCTAGGAAGAGCAGTGTGGTCCAAGATCTCCCTGTTTTGATTCCAAGAGCATGCAATCAAGAAACCACTTTCTTGCTTTCATTTTCATCCAGGAAGTAGCAATGTTTTTATTTGGTTTCTTAATGTAATGACACTTCATTTTTCTTTGAAATATAATCGTTATTAGGAGGTTGTGTTTGTAAGTGACCTTGAATTCAGTCACTGTAATTATGTGGTAAAAGGATAAATAAATATATTTGACTGATGTGATCGCTATATATCTTGAAGGTGAAGGAAGGAAGGAAGGAAGGAAGGAAGGAAGGAAGGAAGGAAGGAAGGTAGATGATAGACAGACAGACAGACAGATAGATAGATAGATAGATAGATAGATAGATAGATAGATAGATAGATAGATAGATAGATAGATAGATAGATAGATAGATAGATAGTTGATAGATATTAACCGTGTATTATATAAGTCAAAGGTACTGCATTCTGCAAGAGAGATAGTTAAGTGCACATGTAAAACACAGAATTAGTCAAAGGAAATCATCTAACAATATTGTAATGCTCTTTGAGTTAATTTAAGTGTGGGCCCAAGTCATAGTATTGGTCCTTACCACCTTTGGACATCTGAAGAGTTATATTCCTTTCCTGTTTGGGTCTAAGATCTTACTCCAAGGATCTTATGCTATAAATATACAGAAGTGGGAGTTTTTTCCAGCTGTTGTACAGTGCCACTAGAATACATTAAGGTATTATACCTAGAACCTATTATCCTTCTTATATCAGGTGAAGACATTTGTATTTACTTAGAACTTTGAACGTGAAGCTTTTGCCAATGTGTTTTGATTTTATTGTCTGTTTTAATGAAAGCTCCCTTGCATTATAAATGGTATATGGTATGCAAAATGCAAGCAAATTTTAAATATGATTCTTTTACAATGAAAGGCCTATGGAATTTCCTTCTAGCTTACA